CGGAGAAGCCAGTCTGCACTTATCCTCTGGTACAGAGCTGTGTTGTCTGTGATGTGTTGGATGAGTGATGAGTGGATCATAGGGGCCAGGGCTGGAGGAGGGGTCTGCCCACACTTTCTCATCCTCATCTATCCCTGCTCCAAGACTTTTTAGTGATTCCAGATTGGGTGGATGTCATAAAAAAATAATTTGAGCAACTCATAAGTTGATTCAAAACTACATGTGTTGCATTGCAGTGGGGAGGTTGTATTTAAATACTTTTTCTTTTGCAGTTGCAGTCACATAGTTCTAAACCTACTTCTGGGATTGCAATTCTGTCCTCTGGAGGCTTACAGAAACATCAGGACTCCTGAGAAGCTCTTCAGGCTTCAAACTGCCATTAGGCTGAATGAACAGGCTTTGTGTGCAAGAAAGTGGACTTTAAAAAGACTGTGTTCACTTGCCTCTACAGCTCTTGGAAGACTGAAGAGTTAATGGGGCTCATGGGTTTATACTCCTTCTGTTGTGTCTACATGGCAAATACGTGAGACTTAATTTTGTATTACAGGCTTTGAGTAATTTTTAATCCAAAATTAGGTTATATTAAATTTTGCTACAAAAGGCATCAGGTGAGGACAACTTTTATGGTCCTGTTTAGAATACACTAACATTCTTATTTGTTTTTAAAGAAGGCTCATTTATAAAGGTTTTTTTCTATCAAAATAAGCTTTATTTCACAAAATACATTTCATAGTACATGTGTACATAGTGATAGTACATAATATGTACATAGTCTATCAAACTCATATCAAATAAAAGCTTTCTAAATGAGTCACTGAGCCCTACGCTTGCTTTTGTCCATTTCATTTCCCTGTCCCGGCTCTGAAACTGTGAACGTCCAGTCCTCTGCAGGAGCTCGGGGAACAGGGATTTCTTCTTTAGTCCTGGTACAGGGCCCACAGTCCCATCCAGTGCCAGTGACAACATCGTGCTTCACCTTCCCTCTGAGCTAGAACATTTATGCTGTTGAATACAGGCTGTGCAGCAGATACTCATTCACTTGTACATCACATTATGTCAGTCATTACAGGGACTAGTGAGCAGGAAGGGTCACTTCACGCTGGGAATTTGGGGGAACGAGAATCAAGAATGTGTGTTTGTGACAACATGGCTACTTACAGAACTTTCACAAATCTAATGATTTTATGCTTAATTTGAAGTTTGTATATTTTTCAAATGAATAACCTGTCTGAGAAATTGGAACTGCAGTTCCCCTTAAATTAATAGTCAACTTGTCTGACTGTTAATTATAATTGTCTTCTAACAACCAATCGCAATGAAATCACAATCATAACTAGCAGAATTTAATCTGAAACTGCCTTCACAGATAGGTGTTGGCAACGAGAAAGCTTTACAGGATTGTAAGGATGTTTTACTATTTTATTTTACGACTGTGGTAGACTAAGAATAATGGGAACAAATTTTAAGATAAGTGCCCTCAATTTTAAAACTGAAGGCACTTTTGTGGCCCTTGGGTCCAGTGACAAGGACCTCTTGAGTATAGGTGCTCTTAAAACTTGGAAGGAAGGGACCCTCCACAGATGTGTGACATCTTACTATTCAATCGAAGAAGACGGGAAAGTGGATTCTGGGTAAAACAACAGTGTAAAATATGTGAAAAATCTTTCAGTGCGTCTTGTATACGCCCAGTTAACACTATAGTTAGTGATTCTCTCTTTGTGGACTGTGGATATTATGTCAGTATAGCTAGGAGAAAACCTGGAATACTTTTCTCCACTTGGGCTTTGGGAACCAAGTAATATAAAGTGTTTAAAGAAGATAGAGCGATGAGGTGTGATTACTGCTATGATCAGTTAAGAGCTGTGTTGCTTGATTAAACCATTATAATTTTTGCTGTCAGTAAAGGAGATCTATTTTGGTTTGCAGCTGGGCTGGATCTTGGATTTGGATTTGTGGACAGGCGCAAAGCAGCTTTTAAAATTTTGGCAGTTTTGTCAATTGTACTTTATAATGCACAATTGTTATTCAAATCACTTTTTAAAAAATCTTTTATAAAACAATTATATTTTATAAAAATTGGTGTATCGTGAACATTTAGTTGTTGAAAGCTTTTATGAACAAATGATTTAAAATGAGTATTTTCAGAATCTAAACTTACCTCCAGTTTTCATATACACTATTGTTATTTTTGTTAACTACCATATATTATTTCTAAATTACTTTATCCTCGATGGGGTGATGTGATTTTGCAAACCTGAAACTGTTAAACTTATGGTTCACTTTTATAATCAAGAGAATTTTTAAAGAGTAATTTGATTTATATTACTGATATACTGAATTCATATATCTAATGATGCTTTCTTCGTAAAATTAGGATATTTTGATAACGAGCGCAGTGTGGGAGATACCTGCTGTTAGCCCAGTTCAGGGGAACTTTGCATATTAAAACCTTCATAAACAGTTGGCCTTTTGATATGCAATAGGTTTCTTAGCTTTAAATTGAAACAGGTTTCTTTAAACACAAAATACTTCACCAAAGGAGCTAAATCCACACCATCATAAATTGAAACTGCAATGAACTAGTCCTTTCTTACTTCCCTTCAACAAATACTGCGGTCTAACTCTGGGGTAGTCGGTGACGCCTTTAATATGTGCAGCCTCTCGGGCGACCTCTAGTGGCAGGCGGTCGGAAATGAAACATTCCGCCATTTCAAGTCTAAAACCGCTTAAAATACTTTCTCCGTCGGTTAGTGACTCTTTGGGCTAAATAGCAATAATGTCTTATTGTACTGCGTTTTACAGTACATATTGTTCTTATTATTCTCATTATGCCTCTGGCTGCCAGGAAACTTCAAAATTAAGCTGCGTCACGAATTTACTAAGACAGCTATAAATGGGGGCCTTAAGGGCCTGTTTGGTATATTTCACTGCACATGCAGTGAAATATACGAAATAAATTACGAAAAGTTACGAAAAACCATTACAACTCTGCACCACTAGGCCACATACTGTATAGCACACTAGTTAGATAGTGTATCTGGATTATCGAAAGCAGCATGTTCTCATTTACATCACTATAAATTTGTAATCGGAGCACAATGATGCCGAGAAATTAAGACTTTAAGGATGGTGACGTAACTGTGACTTCTGCTGTCTTTCAAGCCTGTACAGTAAATCGTATTTGCATCTACATTAATGTTTTATTTTGTTTTTCCGTTCCTCGTGTTTAGGTGCACCGTGACAGGTGGTTCGATTAAAAAGGGTTCAATTTCAGCCGTGTGTTCATGAAAACTAAAAGCTTTAATTAACAAATGGTGTCGTTTAAGTCGAGTAGCAGTGTTTGAACTTATTTCGAAGCGTCAGTCGGCTAACAGTTCTCGGTAAGTTATTATCGCATCTGAGATTCGGCGTTATTTAAATATTGAAACTACAGCATTAAACCATAAAAGTTTTTTTGAATGACATAAAATAGTTGGTGAATAGCTTCCAAATTGC